AGTAAGGATTGTTCAACTATTGAAAAATGCAAAGTCCAAGTTATTGGAAATAAAAACAAAAGTCTAAAGCTTCGAAAAAATGTCACTGAATGATTGATACTTAACTTCAAAATAATCGTCAAAAAAACCTTTAACTGACAACTTCTTTAATTTACGATAGTTAATGCAATAACCTCGCGGAATAGGAAGAAATCTGGACAAATCTAGCAAAATTTCTGTCGTTTTTTTCTTCTCTGTAGCACAAATTTACAAATCAGTTTCATATAAACAATCGAAATTAAAAATCAATTTCCAGAATAACTGTGACGATTCTGTAATTTTTGGTCAAACACAGGTTTAAATTACCTTAAACACGAAATGGAGATATTTACAAAATTAAACACTTTTCGAGTCAGAAAAACGAAAGTATCTTCCACATTTTTGATCAGATTAAGGTTTCAAGGGTACCGTTGCAAATTGAACTTAGTCATCTTTGCATGGAGGGTGATTTTAAATTACGCTTACAGTCCCTTTAAACCTTAAATACAATAATTTTGACATTATTGATCAGATTAAGGTTTTAAGGGCTGAACTGTTGTAAATCAAACATTGTCATCTTTACATGGAGGGTCACTTGAAATTACGCTCTCAGTCCTAATTTTATCAATTTCATAATTCAAAAATAATATTTTCCAAAAATTTTCGTTAAAAGAATGTTTCCTTTAGATTGAGGGACAGTCAGGTATACAAATCTTTTTAGTTACTGCACCGTTAAGAAACATTTAATTAGATTATTTTGAACAAAGATTAGTTTCGTTTTTGGTCTGATATGAAATCATATTCGGAAACTCAAACTCAACGAACATATACTTCTTGATACAATTGTAAATTGAAATCCATGCAGTGAGAAGTGTGTATCGAATTTTAGTTTAATTAGGTATGTATAGTGTGACCCAGATGGAAGAAAAATTACAACTCCTTCATGCGTTTTATTAAATTTGATCTCTGATCTAGATCAAAAGAAGCTTAATTATATATTCCCTGACCTAGTGGGGTTAAAACTGAAACTTTGAATTTATTAAAAAAACAACACTAATTTGGTAAAATTCTGGTGGTATTAAAATACAACCAGAAACCCCGAAGCGCACCTTTTACCAACGTTGTTTCTAATTTTGATAAAGTTAAAGATTAATAATATTTATAATATTTACCTAAAGGTAACTCTACGGCTTCTAGTAAGAACTCTACGGTACCTAACTATATAATATTTACCTAAAGGGAACTCTACGGCTTCTAGTAAGAACTCTACGGTACCTAACTATATAATATTTACCTAAAGGGAACTCTACGGCTTCTAGTAAGAACTCCACTGTACCTAACGGTACTCCGAGCATAAAAACCAATGGAACTAAGGTTATGAATGGGACAAAACCTCAGGTAAAATTACGCCAACAACCTTGAATTTAAAATTGATGATCTACATACATGACACACACTACCCCAGAAGTGATTTTGACTTTAATATTTTGACCATTGCTCTAATAAGCATATTTAGGCGTATGAAACTGGCAGAAAAATTAATTTGACAAGACAATCAAATATTTCGTCGGGCCCAGTGGATATTATACGGCCAAAATCACGCCAAAATAGCACTGCATCTGAATTTACAAAACTTTGGTGAAACCTACTCATCCTGTCATTTTTTGGTTTTTTGTGTTTTTGAAACCCTATTTTACAGTTTTGAAAGAAAAGCTAAAATAAATTGATAAATATTTTTGCTTTATGTGACCTATTAATGATGGTTTTTTTTGATTCAGGACATTTTAGCATAATATTAGCTTATGAAAATATCAAGCTATTTCTCCACTATATGCATCTGTTGGTTTCCATTTACTAAATAGATTGATAAATATTTTTGCTTTATGTGACCTATTAATGATGGGTTTTTTTTGATTCAGGACATTTTAGCATGATACTAGCTTATGAAAATATCAAGCAATTTCACCACTATATATATCTGTTGGTTTCCATTTTACTGAATCAAAGAATGTGTTGAAAAAGTAGATATTTTTTATCTACTCATCATAAGATCAGAAATTCTAAATATTTTGATCTTTAAATTCAAACCAAACAATGTAGAAAATATAAAAGACGGAATTATTTTTTTCTAAATTTCTTTTCCAAAACTGAATAACATAGAAATAGGTTGATATTTTCCTAAGCTGGCATAGTGCTAAAATATCATGGATTTTATGGTGTCAAAAATCAAGCACTACTTGGGTCAATTGAAGCATGAACAATTATTAAGCTTTTCTTTCTGATGACTTCTATCTACGCATGCGCCATGCGCCTTAAAATAAACATCAATCTCCAAAAGATTTTACAGGATAAGTAATACCCAATGGGCCCGACAAAATTTTTTAATAAAACAGATTTGTATTTTCATGCATTTCATTCAACTTATAGAACCATTTTTAGATGTGGTCGTTAGAACTTTTTCAAGATAGCTTCCGGGGCAGTGTGGACAACAAAGAGAAAATACTTATTTAGTTGTTTTCTTTAAGTGTTTATTTACCTTGCCCATAGTGGAGTGCAAATTTGTGGAGCAAATAGTGGAGTGCATTTTCAGTCTTTGAACCAACCAAAATCAAAAAATCAATTATCTTATTATTATATATTCGAATATCCAAATCTAAAAAATAATGACGAGGATAATAAAAATGAGAATAATAATAAACTTTGGAAATATTTTAGGGAAATTCTGAACACAATGGAGGGGAGATGATTCATGTAAACCTACTGGGATTCAGTTCACTTGTAGTTTTCTTTGCTTTTAAATGTTAAATAATAAAAAATAATTTTCTTGTGTTTAATTTTTGATTTAATTTCAATCCAATATATGATTCGAATTATGTTGATAAAGTTCAATTTAAAGTTTGTTCTAATGATAATATGCATAATTTTTCAAGTAAAATTATTTTGAACATCATTAAACATTAAATATAGTTTTGCTATTATTAATAAAATTGCAGTCAATACTTCAATCGTTAGATTTCTGACTTAAAGGGACTGTAAAGGAAAAATGAAAGGGGGTATAGGCTGAAAGCTTATCACTTTAGCTCTTGATCGCAACCCATGAAAGTTTTATCTGATGTTCCTGTCTCGAGAAATTGATATAAAACTGTGTTAAAATTATACGAAAGTTCATATATGTAAAATTTAGAAAATCTTAATCTTAAATCACGTGACCAGCAGTATACTGCTCACGTGTCTCCGCCTGTATCACGTGACCACTTTTCTGCACTGCCATTGGTGGAATTTCTGGTCAAGCAATACGGACGTATAAATAATATTATGAATTAAATCTGTAAAAAATAGAAATAACAAATATAAAATTAGAATTGGAGAATACCTAAGTTACAATTAGCTTTCTCTGGGATATCATCGTTTTCAGATTGGTTGCATATTTGCTGAATTTGATCTTTTTAAACCCACTACTTTTATACAAAATTGTATATATATTAATTTTCGTATAAATTTGACAAAGTTGTAAATCAGTTTCTTGAGATAGGAACATCAAATATAACTTTCATGGGTTGTGATCGAGAGCTAAAGCGATTAGCTTTCAGTCTATACCCCCTTTCATTTTTCCTTTACAGTCCCTTTAAGCTTCCTTCCATTTAATTTCAAAGAAATTTTAACTACATATAATAAAAATGATAGTGAACAATCAATCCATTATAATGTTAGCATAAAACCGTCAAAGGATGGAAGCTAATTTCCAATTTTTAATAGATGCGAGTCTAGTTCAACGTCCCGGCCCAACTACACACTAACATATTGTGAAAATTGTATTAAATAACATTAAACATTGAATATTTGTTGATACAAGAAAAGCCAAACTACATATGTCAGTGAAAAGCATGTATTCTTAAAATTGTTAAAGTAAAATCAAGGAGTACATTTAACACAATTAAAGAAAAGACCAATTAAACTTATAACCGTTTAAAGGATATATTAATTTACTATTAAATAATATTAGTTAGAAAAACGGATCAACTAGACAGAATTAGGGTTTCCAGAGAACAAAAAGGGGATGGTGGAGTTGGCACATTTGATGTAGGGGGGGGGGGCCCTGCCTTCATTTTTGGTTCAAATCTTCCAATTTTTTGGGTGCACGCCTAATTAGTGATCGAAATTCCTAAAATAAAATCAAATTGAATTTTAATGACCTCTAATGACCTCTAATGACCTCTAATGACCTCCACAAAT